GGTGGCCCTTATGGGAAAGTTTAAACGCATGAACTGTGAGATGTCTGTTAGCAAGGCAAAAAGTGTAACGTCTTGACCAACAAACCCTGCACACTGATGAAAACTGAAGGGTCAATGTAAAAAGAAAAGTATTACAAATGTAAACTGCCCTGGAACAGATTTTCAAAACTAGACTTCTTCCAGTATTCATTTGGATCAGTATTACAGTGAAAAATCACTGAGGTATTTTAGAAGAAACTGCAACTAATACTACATAACAAAAAACGAGGTGCCAGTTGTTAGATGATCTCGCTATTAAAAACGACAACCATTCCTTCTTTTACAGGGCTGAGGGGAACAAAAAGATAGATTTGGCCTTCAAGAACAGATGTCCTTGGGGAAGGGCAGTTAAACTGACCCTTGAATTATGTTAGTCAAAAGTACAGAAGAAGGGACTGTACAAGAAGACAGATTTACTAGTCAGGAGTGTCAGAGCAAAGCCCATGTAAGGAGACACACTTGGTACATCATATATTTTACTTCTGAAATTCAAAACTGAAGTGGATTTTTCTGATAATTTAATAAGTGTTATTTCTTTAAATTAAGGATTTGCATGATTTAATAGATTTTTTTGCATGTTTCCCTAAGCAGTGCATATTTTGTGATGCAAAGTATTAAAATATGCAGATTGTACACCTAAGACCTTTTACTAGGGCAAACACATAAAAACAGCATGTACGTGACAAAAATGATACACATTCATTTCTGAAAATAATGTACAAATTGTTTTACGTCTAAAGTGATTTAGTTTTAACGCTGTGCATCTAAGCTAACAATAGCTTATTTTTATTTATCGTTCCAATACTGCATTCATGGTAGCATCCACAACTCATTTTGTAAAGTTGTCAGGCTGGAATTTTTCCAACAAAGCTTGCTTTGAACCTTGGAGTGCTTTGTGGGGTCATTATTCAATGCCATTCACAGTTCAAGAGACACAGAAAGTCTAGGGCTATGTAATCAAGAATTAACTGTTACCAGCTTTCAAAGAAAGGAAGTGGGAAGAGAAAAACAAACTTGTTTGAAAGCAAAATGCAGGTTCTTAGAGTAAAATAATTATTTCTGTAACTGCTTAAAGTGTCACTGCATTTAAAAATGCCTCAGGAGTATGGTTTCCCTCAGCATCTGAAAGGCAGAAAAGATATTGCATGTATTATCTAAAGAATGTTAGCCCACTTCCTTACAATCTCTGGAGTTTTGCAATTTTCTGTTTTATTTGATGAAGCTTCTTTAGCTTTTCAAGAGCGTTCAGGTCTCAATCCAGCTATGGTACTAAGTTAAGAAAGTTATTCATAATCCACAGTGCAAAATAGTCTTCCAATCCTTTCACGTAGCAAAAAAACTAAAACCAAACCAAAACACCAAAAAACACCTCTTGTTCAAATATAAGAATATACTGAAACATCAGCAACAGAAATATTCTCTCACTTTCCCTCCTGATCTTAATTTGGATCTCGCCCCCAGAACCATGTATACTCCTAGGTATCTAAGAAAATCAGTACCCGCACAGAAATTCATTTTGATTATGCAGTTATACATATAATAAATCTCCCTGTCATTATGTATGCCGGCCTATAGCAGTCTAAATCTGAAAGACCAGACAAGAAACTAAATGTCATCTGAGGAACATAAAAGAACGTTAAGGAGAGTTTTTCTGCAGTTTGCACCCTCAGAGAAAGGTTTCTCTGGGAGCAACAGATACAAACAAAATGACGTATAAATGAAAGACTGATTTCCTCAAGTATGATCTATAGATGCTCTTGTGACAAACTCTTAAGTTTAAAAATGTTTGGATCTTACCAAACATTGTCTCTAAATTCAATGTTATTACCACAGTTACATTTTCACTGAATATTCAGGATCCAGTAAGAAAGGTAACAAAAAAGTGTACTGGGAACAATGGTCAGGAAAACACCCTGTAGGCCTGATCTTCCGACCTTTAATTGTAATCCAAAAGTCAAAAGAAATCAGAGAAGATACTCACTTCAATAAGCTTTAGATCACATCTTAGTTGCATCAGGAAGACAAACCAAAGCTAACCTATGAAGGTCCCATGGCTTTCTTTTTTTGGTAGGGTCTGTAAAGGATGGGGGGGTTTGTTTTAAAATACATTACAGGCTTCCTCCTGCATACCTTGCCCACTCTGAACTTGCATGAATTTAAATATGGATTTTGAATAAATAATACGGTATTTTATACAGGTCCGCTACTCCTCACTTCTTGCAGAATCATCGTTTTATAGTTTTTGTGTGTGGTGTATTTTCCTTCTTTTTAGAATTGAAAACATTGTTCTCATTTTCTACTAAGAGGAGTACTTCCAAACAGCCTGAGGTTGGATAATAAAAGATTACTGAGTGTTTTGCAAACAGGTCCTCCACAAAAGCAAGCAGGCTAATTAGTTTCTTAGGATTATGACTCTGACTCACGGAACATCCTGAAGGAGTCATCTTTGAGGGGGAATTGAGACCAAAAGACTGGGGAATGCACTATCCTGACCATACTATAGGGCAAGCATCTTTTTTACAAGTTTACTTTTTATTCATTTCACACTGAAGAAAAATTTGCTCCCTGGAAGCAGTGGAGTTGGAACTATTTCCAACTATATCACTACTCTCAGGCACTGTTTTAATGTCAGACAAAGAAATGATCAAATACATTCTAGCACTGCTCAGGTCTATAATATCAATTAAACACAGATTAACCTTTTAAAACAATGTATGATCCAAAATAACCTTGGAAACATGTTCTGAAGTAGGCAAACAGTTTTAAAAATACTATTTTATTTGAAAATTGCCAATTATGTTTATAACTGCACGTTCAGCAGAGGACATCTATTACAGAGCTGATCAGATCAGAAGGCCCATGGAGACCCAGGCTTGGTGAACTGAACAATTTGACCTGGCCCATGAAATGCCCAGGACTCCTTGGAATTGCCCCACACCCTGCCACCTCCTCTGTCCTGCTGCCACCCAGTGGGATGTGCCCACCAAGCAGAGCAAGGTGCAGCGCCGCCAGGCTGCACCAGCTCTAAGCAGTACAGCTACACGGACCCCTTAGGCCAGGCGGATTTGGCTCAAGGCTGTACCAGTTGGGGATCTCACCAGGCCAGATCGTGGGGAAGCAGTAGCAGGAATAAATAACGCTTCAGTGATAAGCAGAAGTGCATCTTATCTTCAGAGCACCTATGTCTGTCTTCCTTTTTGCTGAATGAGATCCACACCCACTGCAGGAATGAGTTCGAGTTTCTTGCTAGAGAGGAGTTGCCGCAACTGTCTTACTAGAAGCCTGCTCATTTTCCAAAGATTTCTGATCTAACAAAACACGGTAATTTTAGAAATGCATTATAGTTTATCTGGCTGAAAAAGTTAGCACATGGGACCTGCACGGGGGAATCCTTTTCAAATAAGTCACTACTATATATGCTTGGAACCATTATTGAAATTTTCATGTCCATGCTATTTTAATTAACAATTTTGAAACAAACAAACAAAAAAAAAGTCACACACATTATGGGCTATTTACCTGCTAATTCTTTCTTTCAAAGCTGCTCCTGCATTACAAAAGCATAATAAAAATCCCCATATTGTTAAGTACTAGTAAACATTTTTCTGCTTTTGCATAAACAAGAAAACCCAAACAAACAAAAAGGCCAAAGATTCTTCCCGGCCAAGAATTGGTTAACTAGTTTGAAACTATGCTCAAGATTTCTTGAAAACATATATGTCTTTCAGCCAAACAATACTGCTAAGGTAATGTGAATGCTTTACTTTAAAGATGCGTTTTTAAGTTCACAGAGAACAGTAGTGTAAAAATACATCATCCATGAAGCACATTCTGATTTTTAATTGTAACTTTTGATAGATCAGCTGCTTCACAAAATCCCATAACAACCACCCCAGGGGAGGAAAAAAAAATAACACAAGGTTCACATTTTAAAGATTGTCAATTGTACAAACCAAATGTTGCTAAACCATTTATGGGCCGCTTCTGTCACTATCTGAAAACACTGGGTTCTATTAACACCAGTTGAATATCTATATAGTAGTCTACAAGGTTGGTAAGGCGCTTCATTGCTTTCTCCTATATTGCTTTTCTCTGGCAAAACAGCTGTGTTCACTCAGTAGGTCCTAAAGAACTAAGGCACAGGAAAAGATCAGATTTTAAATTTCCAGGAGACAACAATGACCAAGTAATTTGATTTGAGAAATCATTTAAGAGCGCACTAGTGCCAATTTCACTATACTTTACATTGGGTGATCAAGTCACTTTAAGACTTAAAATAATACAACCCAAAACTTATTTGAAAGAGCTTAGTAAGCAAAGGGATAGGGGGAAGTCCCACTGGTTTTGAGTTTGGCGAGGCCAACCTGCTTTACTATTCAGCTACACTGAAAAGTAAAGAGCAAAGCGTATTCAGCATAAGGCTGATGATTTGCTCATTTGAACGTAACAGTTAAATTTGTATTTTCCATGGATATTTATCAGCTAGCATTGTTTTTAGGAGATGGTGATAGTCTGAATTTATTACGAGGGAACCAAAACATTTCTCTTCCATTGTTTAACATGCAAGATTTTCAGGAGTGAATGAAGGTTGCTTACATTTCCAGAATGTAGGATTTCAGAACGACATTTTGCCTATTCAGCTCTAAACTAAGCTGAATTTAAGGCTGAAAGGTTTAAAAGATTAAAGTAACAGACGCCAGAAAGACAACAATACAGCACCTAAAAATGGCTGATTCACACGTTTTTGACTTTCATCTTGCATAGACATAGACAAATGCTTATTCATTTTTTTCTCCCAAGACAACTCAGCTTCAGAAAGTAAATCTTAAATCAATTTTAATTACAATGAAATGCATGCATTTTCATTTTTCAAAATAACTTTAACTGCTACTAGGCTAATAGTTTTATGAAACTATCATCCCTTGGAAAGACTTTGT